TACTATCAGAGAGTTTTGGGAAATATATGTATATTGATATGTATATATATATATATGAATACATGTATATTGCTAGGGTTGAACTGGGAGAGGACCTAGAACAATTTTTAATGCTATCTGGGGTCAGTAGGGTGGGACAGAGTGCCACCTAGTGTATTTACATCTCCTTTTATCATTTTTGCATGTTGGGAATTTTTGGACAATTCTACTTATTTTAAAATATATTATACACTTTGATAGAGTATAATTACCCTCTTATGCTAGAGAACATTAGAATTTATTCCTCCTAACTTACCCATTTTCTAATCTCTAGTGACTGTTATTTTACTGTCATCTATAAGAGCAACCTTTTAGCTTCCACAAATACATAAAAATGTAGTATTTTTTCCTTAGGCCTCTGGCTTACTTCGCTTAATATAATGTGGAGGAACAATAATTCTTAAGATGGATGAACTCAAAGATGAACAGTTTTTGAAGTATTATACTAACTTGATCATTATGAAATCTGTCAGAAGCAATAGCTTTTAACTCAGAAAGGCACTAAGTGGCACTGTGTCCCACCAAACTGACCCCAAATAACATTTTAAAAAAAGTTTTGGGTCCTCTTCCAGTTCAACCCTAGCAATAGAGCTGGTACATACCCTAACTCAGTAATTTAGGTGCTGAGCTTGCCGACTACCTATGTACTGGAACAAAAATAGTGTATTGCTTTTCATGGTGTGAGGCCTGTGCTCATTGTTCCTTTCACAACAATAAAAAAGAGGATCATACCATCCACTGGGCCAGGCTAAAATGATATTTCAATGATATCTGCTTCGCCATGGCACTGCCAAATGCTTCCCCAACTAAAAAATAAACTAAAAGCATGAAATAATGTATAAAGTAATTTTTTTAAACTCACAGCTTAGTTTAGAGACAGGATAGTCATCTTCTAGGTTTATTCTATATAGACAAACTAAAAAATTCAAATTGATTTAATTATCATTTTTATTCTACCTTTCAACTTCTTAGGCTGACGTTTCAAGGTAAGGGTTTGTCTGTGATGATGTAAAGTGGGTTCAAAACTTAGGTTTTTTTTTTTTTTTTTTTTTTTTTTTTTTTTTTTTTTTGGTACCGGGGATTGAACTCTGGTCCTTGCGCTTGCAAGGCAGGCCACCGAACCACTGAGCTAAATCCCCGGCTCCAAAAGTTAGTTTCTGTTCTCAAAAAACTTATCAGTATAAGAACATCCCTAAATAATCACAATATATGGGTGGGTAAATCAGTAAGGCATAGAGGAAGCATTTGAAATTCTAAAAAAAAAAAAATTAATATGTAAGTTAGAAAATCAGAGTTTTTTCATTGAGGTGGTGGGCTTTCAAGAATTTTGGAAATTGATTAGGATACCAACAAGGAAAATACAGGTACTTTTCAGAGAGGAAAATAAAAAAGATAAGACTTTGGGATAGTAGTTAAAACCACAGACACTGGATTATGTGAGAATGTAGCTGAATGTTATAACACTTGCCTAGCATGTGTGAGGCACTCTGTTCAGTCCCCAGCACTGAAAATCCAAACAAACATAGACACTGGCATCAGTCTTCTTGTATGTAATTTTTGGCTCTACTCATTGCATAGAGCTTTGGAAAATGGATTAACCATTAATTTATTAGGCAGTCATATAGAACATGTTTTATCATAGTCTTACAATCTTTAGAAATTATTACTGAAAAGTAATATAAATTTTATTTTTATAACTCTATGGGTTCATGTATTATGTTATATTCAGGCACCTAAGTTGAACTTTGTTAAGGGCACAGTGGTTATGGAATGTGTATTCTGAACCAAACTAGGTTTGTACACAGCTCCATCTCTTATTAGCTATTGTGATCTTCAGCAGGTCACTTGCCTTGTATGTTTATCAGTTTGCTCATTTGTAAAACAGTTAATAATTACCAAATTTGTGAGGGTTAAATCAGTTAATTTATAGAAAAAGTTTACAGCAGCACCTGGTACAAAATAAATACCCAATAAATGTTAGCCATTAGAAGGAATTAGTTCGGAAGGGAAGAAATGAGTGTTGGTTTAGAATTCCATATATGACTGACATTTTGGATTCTATTCCATTGATGAGTTCCCTTTAGTGATGTAATATAGAATTGTATAGCATGGATTTACAGCCAGATTTTATACAGGAGGAAATAAATCACTACATAGCATATAGCTGGCACTCAAGAAACATCTGTTGGACTGAAGATATAGCTTAATGGTAGAGAAAATGCTTAGCACTGTGAGACCCTGAATTAGATTCCTGATATCCTAAGAAATAAACAACTTTGTGTGTGTGTGTGTGTGTGCGCGTGTGTGCGTGCGCGTGTGTGCGTGTGTGTGTGCGTGCGTGTGTGTGCGTGCGTGTGTGTGTGTGTGTGTGTGTGTGTGTGTGTGTATGGTACTAGGGATGGAATCCAGGGAGCTCTACTGCTGAGCTACATCCTTAGGTGTTTTTATTTTTTTATTTTTAGACAGGTTTTCACAAAATTGCCAGACAGGCCTTGAACTTCCAGTCCTCCTGCATCAGCCCCTCAGTCAGCTGGGATTACTAGTTTGTGCTACTACACTTAGCAAGAAATCTATTGATTGGAGTGATTTTCTACAGATTCTAGGGTTAGTAACTGGTAGAATGAAGCAGATATACATTTGTGTATAAAAGTGTCTTTAGGAACTGATCGAGTAAGGTTTTATGGTGCTAAGAAAAACACATTTTGGGGCCAGGGATTTAGCTCAGTGGTGCCGCTACCTGCCTAGCAAGTGGAAGGTCCTGATAATCCCTGGTACCAAAACACAAAACAAAACAAAACAAAACAAAATTTTGATTTTGGATTGGCAACATAGCATCATGGTATTTTTCTTCAAAAATTCCATTTAATATAAAGATTTTGCCGAGAAACTGCCTAATTTTTTTTTTTTTTACAAAAATGTGTTATAAACAGTGGTCTGGTGGTGAACATTTAACAAGAGCCTGGAGCTGTGAGAGGTGATTTGTGGCACTTGGTAATTTCTAAATCTAAATCATGCTCATTGTGGCTAATATTACTCTATGAACATGATGCCACTGAATGTAGAGTTAGGAAATGAATACAATTGGCTTTTATGAGTCCCTCCAAGCAGAATGTGCCCATTCTAGCATACCACTGTCTATAAAACATGACTCCTTCAATATGCGCTTTAATAAGGCAAAAATCATGCAAAGCCTAAGTTCAACTTTTGTCTAGCATGTGTAAATGTGGCATAAAATTTTAGTCTTTTTTGTCGTGAAAAGGCTGTAGGTGTGTTTGTATGCACTGTATATGTCGTACAGGGGATTAAACCCAGGGCCTCCTGCATGCTAAGCAAGGGCTTTACCACTGAATTTCAATATTCCTGGCCCCTGTTGCAGAAAGGCTTTAAAAAAGTTCAGCTTATGAAAAGGCTTTTTAAAACTTCTATGCTTTAAACTCAACTTTTTTTTTTTTTGGTACTGGAGATAGAACTCGGGTCCTTGTGCTTGCTAGGCAGGCAGCGGAACCACTGAGCTAAATCCCTGGCCCCTAAATTCAACCATTTTGTATAAAAATTTTTAAACACACAGAAAATTTGAACAACCATATCTCTACCATAACTAACTTTTCACTAGTTATTTGCTTTATAACATGTCATCAACCCATTTTATTTCTTAGATCAATTTCAAAGATGCAAACACTCAAGCACTTCAGCGTGCATATCATTAACTTAGTTTGATATTTATGTAAGGTTTTTTAGGAAAAAAATCGGGAAATTTATGTTTAATAAAATTAATATGTTTTAAACGTGCCATTCAATGAGTGCTGACAAATGCAGTATTCAAATTATTTCAAGATACTGACTATTAGCATTTCCTAAAAACATTTCCTCATTACCTTTTCTAGTCAAAGCATAGGCCTTCTCGATATGTTAAAGTTTTAGAAAATGTATATTTACCTAATGCAGCACTAATTTCCACTGTATTTCTTTCTTTCATGGCCTTGTCTTTTAAAAAATCGAGTATTCTAATTTTTAGGGCTAAGCATATGCATATACATATACATACACATATACAGGCTTGGGACACTGTAGGCAAGTGCTCAACCACTGAGCTAATCCACTCAGCTCCAGGATAATATCTTTTAAATGTGCTGATAATCTATGCTTGGAGTTCATTGTATTGCTTTATATTTGCATTTTTTAATAATACAAAGTTGAGGAAAAGTTTTACTTCAGTTTACATGAATAAATAGAGAACTGGCCCTAGTCTGCCTTTAACACATCTACACAGTTCCATGAGTTCCTAGTCCAGTTGACTTGAGGCTCGAATAAATCAAAATTCAGGTACATTGTCTGAACGAGCGTAAAACTGCCTGACGGAAGAATACGCAGGCCTGTATACTCCACCCGGCTTACCAGGTTAGATGAAGCTGAACAACTGGTGAGAAATGAGGTCCAACATAATTAAATTCTCTCAGATGCTATGAGCAAAGCTAGCCTTGTTCAAAGCGTCCAAGATGCTCAGTTACTCGATTTATGTACAGCTGGTAGGAAAACGTATTACGAAGGAGGGTGCAGACACACAGACAAAGACAGAGACACAGACCCTAGAAGGTTCGGCGATATATTTCAGCGACAAGCCATGAGGCGAGACACTGCGTGCCGAGCACCACAAAACAGACATCTCCAAAAGACGACAAGTTCCTATCCCCACTGAGGTATATTTAGGTAGTGTGCCACTTAACTCGGGGTTCTGAAGAAAAGCAGCAAAAGAGGGAAGCTTTTCATAGGCGCTAAACAGAAACTAATAAGCGGAGGCTTATTTTACGAGGAAACTGAATTTGCCCGCCAAAGAGTTGCGGGGTCGGGAAAATGTCCTCTGCCATCTTGCTACGCCGGCCCTAAAATTTCCTACATCATCCCACACCTTTCTAAGGCCACATTCGTCTGAAAACCCATTTCTCTCCCCTGTAGACCTTTACCTCGCTCCAGCGAATAACATCGTCCAAGACGGTGTCGTCGACTATTGACCATAGCTTGGAGAGAAAGCCTGGAACTGCAGAAGCGGAGGCGTCCTCCATGATTGCGAGTGCCAATACCACGGGAAGGTAAAAACGCCTAACACGCACGATGCAGCTTCTTCGTTCGCTCAGAATCAAACGCGTTACTGCACGTGCGTCTACCAACTGAAAAGCCAAGGACCGCCCACAGCTCGTGGGGGCAGAGTCTAACTGTGGAAAGGGGAAGCCTCATTGGCTGGTTAAGCTATTGCAGACAAGTGTATGCCACGGAACTTTGGGTAGAGGAAAATTTTTAAAGAGGCAGGAAAATATAGCTGCAAGTACTCGGCACAAGTTTGACCAGATTTTCTGATGGCTCTCAGTGCATTAGCAGAAGGAATTACTGTAGTTTTGCAAACTGCCTCATCCGTGGCAGTACAAAAGACGGCACCAGTGGCACACAATCTTACGATGTACGGAAGACTGCACCATATGGCATAGAAGGGGCTTGGCATTGTGTTAGTTTCATGTTGTATGTGGCTTGGTAATGAACTTAACGATATTACAAGTCAATGCTCGCCGGGCACGGTTTTGACCCTTTCTCTGGAGAGATGATGAGCTTTCTCGCCGGCCATGTTTGGAGAGAAGGGAAACTTGTGGCTATTAAGAAATAGGCTTTCTAGTGAGAAGGTTGTAAAGATGATCATGTAGAAAGGAATTTGGGTAAGAAAGTCCAGTTTTTTTCTTTTTTCCCTTTTCATTATAAAATATCAGATAGTTAGAATGTCATCTGTTTCTTAAAGTTTTCTGGGATCTCACCTGGTTGAACTGAGTCCTGAAGTTTGGCACTCTCTTATAGAAGTATATATGTTAATAACAATTAATAGCAGTAGGCATTGTCTTATTTTGCTTAGATTTTAGTAATTTGTAAGCACAAATTCTGAGAATATTGGAGATGGAAAGGACCTGAAGACTCAATTTCCCGAGCTCTAAGGAGAAATAAATAATCCAGGTCCAGTGCCTGTTTCTGCTGACTAGTGAATTTATTTATCTGTCTACTAGTACTGTGTATTGGACCCAAGGCATCACTCATGCAAGGTAAATACTGTACCACTGAGCTACAGCCACCAAGTTAAATAATGAACCCTCCCACCGCCCCGTTGGGGATCTAACTCAGGACCTTGCGCTTGCAAGGCAGGTGCAGTGAAACAAGCTAAATCCCTCGACCACAGCATGCCTTTTTATTTATTTATTTATTTATTATTTAGTTTTTGGTCCTGGGGTTCGAATTCGGGACCTTGCACTTGGGAGGCAGGCGTCCGAAATGCTGAGCTAAATCCCTGGCCCCCATGCCTTAAAAAAAAAAAAAAAAAAAAAAGTTATTTTTTTTTCTTTTCTTTTTTGGAGATAATTTCACTCGGTAGTTCGGGCTTGCCTCAATCTCACTATGAAGTCCAGGCTGGCCTCAAATTCATAGCAATCCTCCTGCCTCAGCCTCCTGAGTGCTGGGATTACAGGCATGTGCCACCACTCCAGGCTGAAAATGGTCATTTTTAAATGAAAATTAAATTACTAACTACAAAAAGTGTTAAATAAAATCTGAAAGGAGATTTTTACATTTACATTTACATTGAGATCTATTTTCCTTTTTGTACGTCTTATGAAGTACTATATTTAATCTTTTTTCCTTCATACTAAGAATTGTACCTAGGGAATGGCTGAGCTATATACTATGTGCTTTGTAATGTTTTAAATTTTGGAGCAGGCTATTTCTGTTCATTTGCTCAGCCTAGTCTGAAACTTGAAATCTTCATGTCTTACCCTCCCAATTAGCTGGGATTATACCAGCTATTATTTAATCTTTATCTTTCACTGTTCTTTGACCAGTACTGTTTGTTCAGTTGAATTGCTTCATTTTTCAAAACCTTCTCAAATGAGTTCAAAATTATTAAAAAATTAATATTTGTCTTTTTATGTGTCAATAGTTTAGTTATTTCTAATAATACAAATGGCTAGACTTTAAAGCTTTATGACCTCTTATAATTCCTTACCTGAGAACCTCATCTTTTTTAAACATCTCTCTTTCCCCTCTTCAGCTGCTATTCTTCACCTATACACCTATTTTTTTATTTTTTTGGTACCAAGGATTGAACTCAGAACCTTGCTCTTACAAAGCAGGCATGGTGCCCCTGAGCTAAATCTCAGCCCCGTACTTCACTTATCATTCAAGAATAAGTAAAGGAGATGGACATAGTTGGCACATGCTTGTAAGTGCAACACTCAGGAGGCTGAGACAGGAGGATTGTCGTAAATTCAAGGCCAGCCTGGGCTACACAGTGAGTTCAGGGCCAGCCTGAACTACAGAGTGAGAGTGAGATCCTATCTCAAAGTGGGGGGCAGAATAAGTCAAGGAAATCTTTGGAGGTCTTTGATTTCAGTCTGTACCAGTTTCTGCTTTCTTTAGGAGACGCTTTCTGGACCTGGGATGTAGCTCAGTGTTGCCATGCCTGGCAAGCGCAAAGTCCTGAGTTTGATCTCCGGTACAAAAAAAAAGTCTTTCCCAGACAATTTGAATTTTCCTTATATAGTTTGTGATTATTTGTCTTTGCCAACAATTAGATTATTATGTCAATTCTTCTCACCAGATATAAAAATGCTTCATTTTCCAATTCTTTTTCACGCTTTTCTTCACTTTCTAACTGGATTAGAAATATGTGAAAATCAAGGCTATTTCATATAGCATAGTTTCTTTGTCATTTCCTTACAACATAGGACCACATAAACAGTGTTAAAAAATATTTCTTGATTAACCAGCACTGTCTAAGCCATCCTTTCTTTTCCATTTATACTTTTATATGTTTAGCGACATTAGGCCTATTTTCCAACCAGTCTTTCTGCCTGTATGCTTATTTTTTCTAAAGATCATTTTACATTCCACTTATCAGATGTAATTTCTTTTCCCAGAAAATTAACAGCAGCTCTTTCATATTATATTAGTCTCTTTTCTCTTACTATAACAAAATTCTTAAGACTGAGTGCTTTATAAAAGAAAGAGCCTTTGACAAGAGGCATTTCTCAGTGGTAAAATGCCTGTTTGAAAAGCATGAGATCTTGGGTTTGACTCCTAGAACTACACGAAAATATGTGGTTTATTTAGCTTTCGGTTTTGGAGATTCATGGACATGGCACTGTCATCAGTTTGGTTTCGTTGAGAACCCCCTTGGTTGTGCCACATGATGAGAATGTGTGTGAGAGAGAGCTCGCATAGTGAGACAAGAAACCAAAGAACATTTCAGGGTTCATCTTACTCATTTTATAACAACCATGTTCTGAGAACTAGATCAGGGATCCAGTATCTTTCCAAGGGCAGTACCACCAGTGAACTACCTAACTCCCAGAAGACCTCACATCCTAAAAATTCCACAACCACCTCTCAACATTGTCACACCACAGATCTAGTTTTCAACACATGAACTCACAGATGACAAACTCAAAACATATCCAAAAGGGTACCACATGCAAAGTTCACATTTCTTAGTATGGCATTCAATGCCTTCTTCGAAGTGATTTAAATTTTCCTTTTCTGCCTCAATACTCTCACTATACCCTTTCCTATGATCTGTAACGTAGCCAAAAGGAAACACACACACACACACACACACACACACACACACACACACACACTTCCTTCAAGGCATGTTCCACTTTTTTTGGCTTTATTATCTATGTTCCTGCTGCCTATAGATATTCTATCTGTTATAATAGAGAGGCAAGATAACACAATGAAGGAGGAGCTGTGGGATTTAGCAACAGATTATGAGTTCAAATTCTTGTTTTAGAATTTGTTAGCTGAGTGGACTTTTATAATATACTTTTCTTCTCGACACACCAGTGTCTTAATCTGAAAATGAGATCCGTCTCACCAACTTTTCACAGAATTTGAGAGGATTAAATGGACTAGTGCATGTGGAAGGACTTACAGTGCTTTTTCAGTGCTGGTTCTTCCTCTTAGCGTTTAGACTCCTCTCTTCCTCTTCTTTTCTCTCTCTTTCTCTCTCTGGTGTGTGTGTGTGTGTGTGTGTGTGTGTGTGTGTGTGTGTGCATGTGTTGAACTGCATTTTTAATAGAGGAGCCACTGAACTACATACCTATTTCGCTTCATTTTAATTTTGAAACAGGGTCTTATTAAGTTCCCCAGGCAAGATGTGAACTGAAATATTCTCCTATTTCAGCCTCCAGAGTATCTGGGATTACAAGCATGTGCCACTATACTGGACCCAAGATTCGTCTTTTTTATTCATACTTAATTACTTTGATAATCTCATCTAGTCTTATGGATTTAAGTATAATTATTTTGATGACTCTCAAATCTATATATCTAGACCTCTGCCCTGAACTAGAGACTCACATATACAGCTGGGTCCCCTCGGATTGTCACCAGGTGGAATCTGAGAAGGTTTCCACAAGTGGAAACTTGTAGTCTCCACTTACCCCACCCACAGAGCAGGTTGTAGGCCACCTGATTTCTGAATTTTCAAGGCACACTAGTAATAAGTGTAAAGAGGTTTATTAGACGGAATTTTAAAAGTACGCATTCAAAAAGAATGGTGTGCAGGCCCTCAAGTAAGTGAGGCACATTGTGACCTAGAACTGAATATGTATGTGTGATCATGGGGTATCTTCCAGACGCTAATATGTATATTCCCATAGTCTGTGAGATCACCCTTCTGGCAAGGCCATGTTAAAATGAAAAGTATTTATATGGTGAAAGGTGAGATATACTGCCCACTTAATCATGTGTTTTTTTTTTTTTTTGTACCGGGATTCGAACTCAGGCCCATGCGCTTGCAAAGCAGGCCTCAGAACCACTGAGCCAAATCCCCGGCCCTCATGTGCTTTCTTGACGATGGGGATAGGTAGAAATGAGTACAATTAACAGCTGAAAGCACAGGCCTAGAGCACAATTTGCAGGCTTATTGTCTTTGAAACCCTTAGGAATTAGGATGGGGAATGGAGAAATTTTTGTGGCCTAAAGGTGCAGGTTTTTTAAATTTCATTTTATTTTTTATTGAGTTTATTGGTACATTTTAGGTATACAGTACAGTTACATTCATCATTGGGATCTTGTACCTTCACATGACAGGT